GGATGGAGGGGTGCTGGTTCAGAGCGGCCTGCTTGTTCATGCTCCCGTGGCCCCTCCCCCGCTCTCCCGTCCCCTCATCAAACCACCTAGGCTAGGATGCACCCAGGATTTCTACCCAGGGCTCTCCTCTGGCTTTGAGGTGTCAAAAGAGCCTAATTCAGATTTCCCATCCTTATGACACTCACAGAGCCTGCCTCTCCCTCCCTCCTTCTCCCGGTCTCTGCTCCTCTCTCTCTCTTACCTTTGGTGAACTTACTATGTGCAAAGCTCTGTGGTCGTGTCAGACCCACGGCCTGAATCCGTGAGGGTGGGCCTGTCAGTAACCACACCACAAGAATGCAAAATAAGGTAAAGAGATCAAGCAGTGCATTGTGGGAGCTCATGGGGGTTGTGGGGGGGAGGGAACAACAGTGAGTGCAGGTGGGTGGGAGCCTCATGGAAGTTTTCCTGGAGTGGTGGCATTGAACTGATGGGCAGAGAAGAGGGCATTTGTGTGTAGATAGTGTGGGCAGCTCCCCAGTGTGGAAAGACCAGAGGACTTTTCCATCTTGGACAGTGAGCTTCTGGGCAGATCCTGGATCCCCCAAGCTACCCGAGAGGAGGACCACTTGCTTTTTGTTTTCATTCCAATTGGTCATAGACTGATAATATTATAAAATATAATGTCAAGGAGTGACTAGGAAAATAAAACAAGACATATAAGGTACAAGTATCAATTTTTTATTGTTGCATTCAAGAGATATAAAATCATGGTGTCAAGTGACTTGGTTGCTAACGGACCTTGACCCTGGTTGGTCACAAGGGGGCTGTAGAGGGGCCAGATGGGTGGCTCACACCTTGAGCATCATGGCCCTAGGCAGAGTTTTCCAGCTGCAGGTCACGATCTTAGCTGGGTGGGAAATTAATGGAGTAGGTTGTGACCAGCATTTCAAAAGCATGAAGTAGAATCCAATAGAAAACGGAGTGCCTGGGGTGTTGTCAGGGAAGTGTGGTTCTGTGAAACGTTCCCCTCAAGCCTTCCACACCTGTGGGTGGCGGCGCTGGGCTGGGGCTGAGCTGCATTACTGTGGGTCATGGCTGGGTGCCCTCCCACAGGGCTGCAGGGCCTGACTCTCTCTCTGCAGCTCTTGTCCCCAGCCCAGCTCCGCCGCCATCCCTGAGAGTCTGGGTTTTTTTGACCTCCTCCTCTGCTGCCTCTGGTTCTGGGGTGGTGGTCCGGCTCACCACACCGTGGCCCTTCCGCTTTCCCACTTCTCTTTTCAGGACAGTCCTCCTCCTCCCTTGCCCCTGGCAGAAGCCCCCTTCCTCCTGTGTCATCAGTGCCCAACTGCCGTGCTGGGCCTGGGTCAGCCCCGAGACACAGAACAGAGGGTCCCTGCCCTGGAGAAAGGAGCCGCAGTGCTGGGGAGTCAGAGACTGGGATGCACAATGCAGGATGTATGTGATAGGAAGGGACCCACGCCTAGCCCAGGGTCCTCCCTCCAGGCTGGTGGGGAGACTTGGCTCCCAGTGGGGCCCACAGTGGGGGAAACCGTGTCATCCCATCCAGGGCCCCTGCTGGGCTGAGGTCTCTTCTTTGTGTGTGTGTGTGTGTGTGTGTGTGTGTGTGTGTGTGTGTGTGTGTGTGTATTGGAGTCTCACTCTGTCGCCCAGGCTGGACCGCAGTGGCACACTCATCACCACCGCAGCCTCGACCTGCTGGGCTCAGGCGATCCTTCCACCTTAGCCTTCCAAGTAGCTGGAACTACAGGCACACACCACCATGCCTGGATAATTTTTTGATATATTGTAGAGATGAGGTCTCGCCAAGTTGCCCAGGTTGATCTTGAACCTGTGGGCTCAGACAATCCTCTCACCTCGGCCTCCCAAAGTGCTGGGATTATAGGTGTGAACTACTATGCTTGGCCCTGGGGTCTCCACTTTTGGGGCTCCCACTCTGTGGACACTCCCACTCTATTGAACCAATTCTCTGCAAATGAACCTCTGGATTGCTTTCACTTGTTTTTGGAATTGTAAATAATTATAAACAATGCTGCAATGAACCTCTCCTCCAGCACAGCCGAGCTACTGGTTCCCAGAGGTGTCCTCCCCTCACCTCTTGGTTCCATGTTTTTATCCTCACATGGTCTGTGTTCCTCCTGTGTCTCGTGGTTGATTGGGACTCATGTCATGAAGTTCAACATGAGCTGGAGGTTTGGAAATGTGATCTCCTTCCTCCTTGGGTCACGTACCCTCCTTGCTGATGACGACTCATTTGGTTTCTTTCAGATTTCCCAAACACCCAACTGGATCACCAGGACCCACTGACTGCAAGTCATAGAGACCCCAGTTCAAAATGGTTTTGACAATGCAGGAAGTTTTTATTTAGTAAGAAAAGTCCCATGGTACCTTGACTCGAGGGAGGGTGATCAAGTGGATCTACCACAGATCAAGGACCCAGGTTCTGTTGGTCTTTCTGCTCTGCTGTCCTCAGGATGTCAATTGGTTCCGTGTCCCTAATGTCTGTAAGATGGTTGCTGAAGTTCCAGACCTTACATCTAGACATGATATGCCTGGAGGCTGAAGAGGGGCCAGCTTTTTCTGTGGGTCTATTTTATTTTTGAATTGGAGTCTCACTCTGTCGCCCAGGCTGGAGTGCAGTGGCACACTCATGGCCACCCCAGCGCCGACCTGCCCCAGGTGATCCTTCTGCCTCAGTCTTCCAAGTAGCCGGAACTACAGGCACGAGCTACCACGCCCGGCTAATTTTTGATTTATTGTAGAGACGAGGTCTTGCCAAGTTGCCCGGGCTGGTCTCGAACCCACAGGCTCAGGCAAACCACTCACCTTGGCCTCCCAAAGTGCTGGGATTACAGGCTGAGCCACGGAGCCCGGCCTGTGGATCTATTTTTAAGACCAAGAAAATTTTCCCTGAAGTTCCCTGAGCAAACTTGCTCTTGGTTATTATCAGTCAAAGGTAGGCCACATGCTCATATTTTGGTTAACTCTTGCTTGGGTGGAGAATGAAGCTCCCCTGACTGGTGAGGTATGCAGCTGTGTGGCAAAGGGCTGGGTTTTAAAGAAGGGAAGGGCTATGGGGACAGAGCAGACAACCTCCAGTGTCTGCCCTGCAGGCTGGTAGAGAAAGTCTCCCCAAGAGGAGGACTGCGTTTCTACATTTCTCAGCCAGCTGGGCCTGTGACTTCTACACTGGAAACTCAGTTGGACTCTTGATTCTTTTTTTTTTTTGAGTTGGAGTCTCACTCAGTCGCCCAGATTGGAGTGCAGTGGACGCTCCTGGCCACCGCAGCCTCGACCTGCTGGGCTCCGGCGATCCTTCTGCCTCAGCCTTCCAAGTAGCTGGAACTACAGGCGTGTGCTACCACGCCCGACTGATTTTTTGATTTATCGTAGAGATGAGGTCTCGCCAAGTTGCCCAGGCGGGTCTCGAACCCGCAGGCTCAGGCAATCCACTCACCTCAGCCTCCCAAGGCGTGGGATTACAGGTTGAGCCACTGAGCCCCGGCTTGGACTCTGATTCTATTAGAAGTCACTTGCTGACTGGATGAGGTAGGGTTCATCTCTCAAGGGAGTTTGTTGCAATGTAGGAGGGTGAGAGTAAGGTTAGGGCATAGGACTTGAGAGCGAAGGCGGAATTTGCCAAAACTAGACAGGAGACTCAAGCACTCCAGCCCTTCCCTCCGAGGGAAGGAGTCAGGAGGGACTTACAAGAGACCCTGCTTGGGCTGGGTTGGATGCAGGGGATGGACTGAGGTCAGCTTTGAACTGGGCTTTCCCTAGTGGTAGGGCCAACTCAGTGTCAAGGACGGGGGGACCAAGGAGCAGGAGGTGCAGAAGTGAGGGAGGCACTTATCCCGACCAGGGTCCCCTAACCTTTCTGCTGACCCTCAGTTGGGTCTCGTCCTTCCTGTCTCACAGAGGACAGGAAGGAGAGAAGGAGCGCAGTGAGTCAGGAGCTTACCTGGGGCAAAAGAAAAACACAGGAAGTGACTCAAGGCCTGTAGGGTAGACAGGTGGCCAGCAGTGCTCTGGGATGGACCCTGGGGGAGTTGCTTGAGGGCGAGGGTCCCCTCCCCAGAGGCTGCGGGTGCACGCCATCCTGGTTATTTCTGCCAACCATGTTTCCCACAAATACTTCCCCTCCTCACCACAGCAGGCCGGCGGCCCACTCACCCACAAACCCTGTCGCCAGCTGTTGCAATTCCTGACTCTGGTCCACCCCCTGCATCCGGGAGGCCTCGGCACCTCTGACCCTGGACAGTGGGTCAGCCCCTTCCCTTGCTTGTCTCCCTCGGCCTGAAGGGAGAGACGTCAGAGGCACTAGAACATGGGGTCTTCTGAGCAAGGTAACTGCCTCTGGGCAGGCATGTACCACAGGGTGGAGGATCTGGGCCCAGGCGGAGTGACAGGTGTAATGGTAGAGGGGGTATGAGCCCCAAACTGTGCGCATCAGAGAGGCCTTTGTCCTGCCCACTGGAGGTCGGAGTTTGAGGCCAGGGCCCCAGTCAGCAGTAAAGTGAGATTTTGCCTTCCTTTACTGCTGTATTCATGTTCCATGCTTCCTCGGGGACCTCTACACAATTAAAACATATTGTTTTACATTGTATTTTACAAATGTAAGTTATATGTAAGTTTAACAGCTTGTTTTTTTTCACTTATTATCTTGTACATGTTTCCATAACAGCATATATAGAAAGCTCCCTTATTCTTTTTAATAGCAGCAGAATATTTCACTCTGTGAACGTACTATTATTTATTTAACCAGTTTCCTATAAATGAAGCTGTGGTTTGTTTTCCTTTTTAAACATTGTAAACAATGCTGCAATGAACATCTTTGTGCATATATTTTTGGGCACTTGCATAAATAATTTTGCAGGACAAAATTCTAGAAGTTTGACTGCTAGGTCAAAGAGTATGAACATTTCAAACATAGTCGATAATACCTAATTGCTGATGGCGGAGCTCTACGTGACACTGGGCAACAAGGAGCGTGGCTGGAACTACCCGCCACAGTTCTCTTACGAATTGCAGACCCAGGCCTGCAGACCCAAGTGCACTCCGCTCACCAAGAGGGTCGCCGTGCCCCAGGATGGATACCCTAGAGTCCCCACCTCAGAGACTTCCCCTGCCCCCGCCATGAGGCCTCCACTTTCTTCAAGTAAGGCTCCCAGGCCCCCACCTGTGCGCATTTGTCCTGCCTCTGGTGTGGAGTCCACAAGTTTCCCAGTCATCAAATCTGAGGCTGTGATGGAGGATGTGCTGAGACCTTTGGAACAGGCATTGGAGGACTGCCGTGGTCACACGAAGAAGCAAGTACTTGATGACATCAGCCGGCGCCTGGCACTGCTGCAGGAACAATGGGCTGGAGGGAAGTTGTCAATGCTTGTAAAGAAAAGGATGGCTCTACTACTGGTACAAGAACTTTCAAGCCACCCGTGGGATGCAGCAGATGACATTCACCGCTCACTCGTGGTTGACCTTGTGACTGAGGTCAGTCAGTGGATTGTGGGAGTCAAAAGATTAATTGCGAAAGAAGGAGTCTGTTTTCAGAGGAGGAAGCCCATGAAATGAATTCTGCGGCTGCAGCTGAGGAGAACCAAACCATACCAGGTTTTCAACAGGCTCCATGATCCTGTGGGTTCCCCAGGCCCATCTGACGCTATCTGCTGTGTCTTGGTGTGGGAGGCTTTCTCTCACTTGGCTCCTTCTTACCACCAGAGAGACTGTCCCACTGGGTCTGAACCTGCTCTGTGGGTAAAGGTCCCCCTAGGCCCCAGGAAAGTCACAATGTTACCCATTAACATATGCATTTCAATAAAAACAACTCAGTGGTGGACGTTGGTTGGGAGGAATGAGCCCTTCCTATGTCAAAACTAAAACAAAAACCAAAAACAAAACCTAATTGCTTTCCAGATATACTCATTTTCATTCCGTAAGCATTGTGAGACTGCCTGTGTAGCCACATCTTCCACAGCACTATGTTTTATTAATCTTCTCAGTCTTTGCCAGTCTGATAAGTGAAAAATAAATCTTGTTTTAATTTGCACTTAAAATGATGAGTGAGATTGAATATTGTGCTTATTTTTATTAGCCAGTTGTGAATGACCTGTTCATATGCTTTACCTATATTTTTCCATTAGATTGTTTGGTCATTTCCTTATTGCTTTAAGAAAACATGTCTTTTTTATGAATTAGAAAAGTTGGCATTTGCCATATATCTTGTGAGTGTTTTTCTCTTATTTTGTCCTTGTTTATGGCACTTTTTCCTTTAATTTCTATGTAGGTACATTTAGTAATCTTCTTTGGTATAACTTCTGTTTTTTTTTCCATGACTAGAAAAATCACTATTCCAGGTTCATAAAAACATTTACATGTATTTCCTTATGACATTTCTATGGCTTTATTTTTTTTTATGCTTTCCTTTCTTTAAATATTTAATCCTGTTGAAATTTATTTCCGTGTGAGGAGTGACGTAGAGAATCCAGATTTATTTATTTTTGATCCAAATATCTGACTAGTGTCTCATTTATTGAATTGAATTCTCATGTTTATTTGAGTCTATTTAAAATTTCTTTACAACAACCTGCCTGTAGGCACCAGTCCCATACTAATTTAGTTATTGTAGCTGTATAATATTTTATAGTGCTATTTCCTTGTTAGTTTATTTATTTTTTCTCCAAGAGTTTTCTGATTATTCTTTTATATTTATTTTTCCAGATGAATTTGTAGTTATTTTGTCAAATTATTCCCAAAAAGCAGCTGACGTTTGCACAGAAGTATACTGAATTTATAGTTTATGGTGACACTGACATGCTTACGATATTATTGACTTTTTTTGTTTTTGAGTTGGAGTCTCACTCTGTCACCTAGGCTTGAGTGCAGCGGCACACTCACAGCCACCCCTGCGTCAACCTGCTGGCTCCCCTGATCCTTCTGCCTCAGCCTTCCAAGTAGCCAGAATTACAGGCATGTGTTACCATGCCCAGCTAATTTTTGATTTATTGTAGAGACAAGGTCTAGCCAAATTGCCCTGGCTGGTTTTGAACCCGTGGGCTCAGGCAATCCCCTCGCCTCAGCCAATATTATTGACTTTTTGCCAAGAACAAGGTCTCTCTCCATTTATTCAAGTCTATGCCTAAGTCCCATGTGTGGGTTTTCTAGCTATTTCCACATATACCTGGACATTTTTTCTATGTATTTTATGTGAAATTTTTGTTACCCTCATGAATGGGACCTTTTTTCTATATTCTTTAGTTATTTTTCGTATTTAGAAAATCTTGTTTTTAGACTAAGCACTTTGCTAAATTCTCTAAGTTTTTAGCTGGTTCTTTTAGAATCTCCAAGCATAAAATAATGCCACCCAATGATAATAATTATGTTTTTTCTGATAATATTTTTACCTCTTATTTTATTGTTTCATTTGATTGCATTGTCAAGTGGTTCCAGAACAGTGCTAAGTGCTAACAGTGAAGTTTATGGGGAGTGCTGACGTCAACTTTAATGGGACTAATTCTAGTGTCTCCCCATTAAACATGTTGCACAGGCCGGGCTCAGTGGCTCAGCCTATAATCCCAGCACTTTGGGAGGCCGAGGTAAGTAGATTTTCTGAGCCCACGGGTTCAAGACCACCCCGGGAAACTTGGTGAGACCTTGTCTCTACAATAAATCAAAAATTAGCCGGGCATGGTAGCGCGTGTCTGTAGTTCCGGCTACTTAGAAGACTGAGGCAGAAGGATCACCAGAGCCCAGCAGGTCGACACTAGGGTGGCCATGAGTGTACCACTGCACTCCAGCCTGGGTGACAGAGTGAGACTCCAACTCAAAAAAACAAAAACAGAATATGTTGGGTAAATTCATCTCTTTATTTTACAGATGAATAAATTATTCATTTTTATGATCTATTATGGTTATGTTCAATTTCCAAGCATTTGGCTTTCTTGTACTTCTGGAAAGAACCATACTTAGTGTTGACATATTCTTTTATTAACACACTCCTAACTGGTGCTTCCTTCCTTAGCTCAGAACTTCCTCCTTCACTGATCCTTTCCCCTCCGAAGCAGAGGCTGGAGGTGTGAGGTGGGGCATGGCCATGTCAAGATGTGGCTCTCAGCCTTCTGTCCCCAAGCGAACAAGGAGCCACAGAAGCCTCCCTTGAGACTGAGAGAGAAAACAGCTGAGCAGGTGAATGAGGAGGGCTGAGGAAGGGAGGAAGCCTGGGGAGGTCTTAGGAGCAGGGGTCAGGAGTCTTTGGAAGAAGGACCCTTTTATTTCACCCTGTCCCTCTGTCACCCTCAGAACTAGCTTGAGTGCCAGGTCTTTTAGGAGAGGCATGATCTGGACCCTTAGCCTCTCTCAGGCTGATGGAAGTGGTACATGTGGGTGCTCCTACACTAGGGGGGAGGCTAGCAGAGTGCCCTGGAGCTGGCAAGAGGTCAGGATGATGTCCAGCCTGGTGTGGCTGCTTCTCAACATTTGCAGCATGCAGAGGCTTCTGAAAGCAGTGACCCTCACCCCCATCTCCCCCAGGGCTGTGTTTTTGTCCTTAATGTGAGATGTCACCCAACCTTCCCTCCATTTCCTAAAGCCACTGTGAAATCCTTTGGCCGTGACTCTTGCTCAGGGACCTGGATGACCTCATCATCACCCTTAGGTGAATATTGCTGGGCCCAGGGCTTGCTCGAGAGAGGAGAGCATTGGGGGAGACAGAGAGGGGACTTTCCAGTGTGAGCGGGAGATCCAGGTGTCAGAGGGCACCCGTGTGAGTGGTGAGCTGAAGCGGGGTGGCTGGAAGGAAAAAGGGCCCTGTAGATGTTCCCCCTGAGCTGCCCCCCGCTTCCTGATCACAACTGTCAGCTCCAGGAGCACAGCAGACAGCCCATGACCCTTGACCCAGGAGCTCAGCATCCTCTAGGCCCATGAACCCCCTCTGACGTGCAGATAATACAGACTTTTAAGAGGAAGCGAGGTGATTTTGTGGCTGTGTTTATATTACAGTGCATTCAATCTGCTTGAGTGTAGACACGTCCCCACCCTTTTCTCATGAGAGAAGATCAAGAGCATGTAGACAGGTGTGGGGGTGAACTGAGTTTCAGGCAAAGCAAGAAAGAGCACTGCCAGCCATTGACAGGAGCCCAGTCTGAGTGAATGGTGGGCTCCCTGCTGTGAAGGCAGGGGAGTGAATGCAATGACCTCTGGGTGCTGCTGATGCTGTGAGCACTTGAGGATTCGGAGTCTTTTCCTGATGCTTTTAGTGCATCTCTGCAGGGACACCTGATGCCAAGTCCATTTCCCAGCCAGGGGAAGCTGGGAATATAGTGGGGAGGTTGGTCAGCAGGAAGGGGCTCCTGTCATCAAGCAGGGCCCAGCTTCTGGAGAGAAAGGCAAGAGCAAGTTGGGCCCCCGCCTTGGGGGCGTTAGGACCCTGGGTGGGCATTCCGGACAGGGACTTGATTAAAAAGGGACAAGATGGGCCCTGGAGGTTGGACCTGCACACAGAACAAGGACTGGGCCTCCTGTATGAGGTGGGTGCATGACGGGATGAGGACCCCTTTGGGCATTTGGACCAGACTCCGCCAGTCACCACCCAGGAGGACTTTCCTTCCTTGGAACCGTTTTGCAAAATCCTGGTGGATTCTTGACCCATGAGGCTTCCTGTGGAAAAGTAGGTGCCACTCGTGGGTCCTGTTAAGTGCCCTGGCATGAGTCTTACTCATTTCCAGTCTTCTCAATTTCTGCACCAGGCCCAGGCCTCTGGGGGGAGCTTCTAGTAAATGTGTCCCAGATGTGCCTAAGGGGCTGAGCCAAGAGGGCGAGACGACTGCTTTTTGGAAAAACAATGCAATTTCCTTGGAAAAGCCTTCTTCTCTGGGCAGATACCACCTGATGTCAGCAGCGTAGGCAGACCCACAACCCCAGCTCTCTCCTCTCCAGAACCAGGGATCCCCACACTCAGAGGGGCTCTTTCCAAGTTGTCTTAGACACAGAGAAAGATGCAGAAAAAGAGGAAGGCAGAAGATAAGGCGGAAGGGAAAGTCAGAGAGGGTGTTCTCTGCTTTTAGGGGCTCATGCCATTAGACTGGGTGCACTGGGATAACTCAGGAAAATCCTGACTTTTTTTTTAAGGTCCATAACCTCAACCACATCTGCAAAGTCCCCTTTTGCCAGCAACATAACGTATTCACAAGTTCCAGGCATTGGAGTGTGGGCATCTTTGGGGGAATCGTTATGTTTGGCCCACCCTAGCATTTATGCTTGCAATCTTTTCTCCAGGCGTATTACCTTTGTAAAGAAACATTTGCCAAAGTGTGCAGTATTGTCTGCTGGCAACTCAATATAATTTCCCTCCTGGGGTCTACGTTCCCCTGCCCAGCAAGAGTGGGAAGCCAGGGAGCTGCAGGCTGCAGAGTCCCCACCAGCCAATGAGAGGCACTGCCGCAGGATTTGGCAGGTGGAAGAGAAGCATAAATCATGGTTTTGTTCCCCTGGCAGCTGTGGGCAGGTGTGTGGGCTTCAGCAGATGGGAGATTTGGGAGAAGCTCCCAGGCATTTTCTCTGCTTTGGTGCCAGATGCTCAGGTATCTTGTGGTTTTAGGATACCTGAGTCCCTAAAAGCTAGCTACAAACCTGAGCTAGCCCTTCCGC